AAAATCTACCTCTGTTTCCACACCCTGTGCCCCGTGGAATGCGAACATTGTGCGGGGGAGAGACACAGTGGCTTCAGACATCGCACGGTTTCAACACACACACACACACACGAGTATTGGGTGTGTGTGTTTGAGGGTGATGAAGTCAGAGGAGTGCAATCTTACCCGCAGTGCTTCCCCTGTGTTTTCAGTGAAAGTGTTTGACTTGTCGTCCATCTTGTCAACTATGTAGTATGTATGTCTCGTGACCCCTCGCCCCTCACACTAGATGTGCCTGCTTTTCTTGCTCTGTCTTAAACTTTGACTAACGCACGATTTAGGGGAAAAAATTTAATTGCAATTTAAAATGAAAAATAATCTCCAGGTTTGCTGTGCTTATTTGTAGGGCTGCACAATTTGGTCTTATGACTATAAAACAATAACAATATTTAGCCACAGATGAAGAGAGAAAAAGTATTAGTATTAGTATTATTATTCTATTGTGATGTTTCACTGTAAAATAGAGTATTAAAGAAAAATAATACAAATATTACATTTTTAATACAAAAACTACTAATATTTTTAGTCTTCATTTCTTCATTTTCAAACATCATGAGCTACTCATGCAGTGAAAATATTTATTTAATAATATGAAAATAAAAAAATATTGTTATTTATATGTATTATTAGTATTGTTGTTATTACTAAATAAAAATGTATATCGTAAAATTTCACTAAAACAAAAATTTGAGTATAATAAAAAAATGATGATAATTTTATTTTAAAATACAAACATAATGAGCTGCTAACGTGTGTAAAACAACACAACAGTTCACTCTGAAACATGCAGCGCAAATATTCATTTAAATCACAGCCTTTGCACTCTAAGTTATAACAATTCCAGTTTTATTTTAATGAATCATGCAGCCCTACCAATAATTGTTTCAGGATTTTATGATCAAAGTATGGCTTGAAATAGATTAGCGTTCTTACTGAAACCAAATGATTTGATTTGTTAACAGTTGATGAACATCTGCATTAATATGTTGATTCAGTGAGTATGTTTCTGGCATTACGGCATAAAAGCTCATGCTTTAGTTGAGTTGTGCTTGCAAGTTTGAATAGAATGCAATGAGAGAGAGAAATAAATGAATGACTCAACAACCTTCCATTGCATGATCCTCATTGGTTGCATGCAGCAACAAACATATTATTTGCATGCAGCCTATTTGTTCAAACGGCTCAGTCTTAGACTCATGTAGGGCCGTGAAAATGACCTCTCAAAGCAGCATCTCGTCTTCTGTTTCCGTGACCTTTGTGAGTTGAGATTGCTGCTGTAATATGACTCATGCTTGTGGTTTAGCAGGGTATTGCAGGCTCGTCATGACCTCCCTCGTTACGTGGGGTGATAATTGCCCAAACATGCAGTAGGAATGAGCTGACTGATCGCTGCTAATCCGTCCCGTACGGACAGGCAGAGATGATGGACTGCGCTCTGACTACATGTCGTGGGCGTTTTGAGTTGAATTGCACACTGCATTAACTCTGCTTTGTCTGCTTTGTTGTTAACAATAATTAAAGAGTTAACGATGAACATTCTGGCATCATTAACTCAAACTCATGTCGTTCTAAAACTTGAATTTTCACTCAGGAATTGCTAGTAAATTTCATGAATAATTACAAAGAAATGGCAAAAAACACATTGAATGAATGACATTTTTAAATAGAAAGTAGGGATGTAATGAAGCACCGCGAGCCAGTTGAAAATCGATAAAAATATGTGATTTATGTTAAACGAATTGCAATACAATTGGGGGTGGGGTTTATATGAATGTATCTCTGAGGAGAACTGACTTTAGAAGTTTAGATGGTATTTTACTACTCTTGCCTCTGTACAATGCATAGTAAAGTAGTGTTTATAAGCGCAGCGCTGCTTTGTTTACAGCGACAACCAAGGAAATGCCGTATTGCTGCTGTTCCATGAGCGCCACCTGCTGGCAGAGAGTGACTCTGCGTCTCATTCAGCTCGTCTGCTGTTTTTGTTTTGTTGTATAGTTTCACAAAGCTAAAGTCAGACCACTCTGTTTTTGCTTCAGGTTTGAAATTATACAATCTAATTTAAATCAAAATCTGGAAATTTAAGTTATTCACTTGTCAGTTTTGCAGCTTCAAACGCGGCTGACGACAGAATGCTTTGATTTAAGCACACAAGTGAACGGGATTATCGCATGAGTTGTTCTGGCTGATGGATGTTAAACTGATGGAATGCGAGCAGGACGTGGGCTGTGGTCACATGACCTCCACATACCTGCACAGGTGGGACACATTTCCTGTGAAATTCCCTCCACGCTACGCCCTACATCCTTCACTCATTAAATATAGAAAACAACCGGAGTGTTCATTTTACATAAAGGAGGAGTGACGTGTAACATGGTGTCCAGACGCTGAAGATTGACTCTGTATCCTGAGCGGGTGTGTTTTTAGAATGTGGCGTGTAGTAAATCAATTTTTAGTGTTTAGCATTTTAGCGAGTGCTATTGTCTGATGAGCGAGCGAGCCGCTTGTTTCCTGCAGGAAGATAAACTGTAAACTAGAGCAGCTTTACTGGAGCTCATATGAATTATTCACGTTTCATCCTCACGAGTGGCCATAATGAACTGAGCTGCCTTTTTAGTTGCTATTCAAAATGAAGGTTGAGCCACAACAGGATAGTTTTTTATGCTAAACATAAACTTTGAATGCTTGTAGTTTTGGTATATCAGGGCAATTTTCATGACTTTTATGGCCTTTTTTTTTTTTTTTTAAAGATGGTGTTGCATTTAGTCCAGCAGTTTTTGAATGCAAGAACACGACTTAAGTAAAAACCTCCCAAGAAACGCATCCGATGAACTTTGTGAGCCTAATTATACAGGTTAATCATACAGTTAAAAGCAATTAGTTTTGCATATCCCTGTCACTCAGTACGTAGCACGAGTGCTTGACCTCTGAACCACAGACTCGTCGACTGTAAGTCAGAATGAAAGAGACTGAAACAGACTTATGTTATTGATCACAGAAGGGGAAATCAGATGCAAAAAAAGCAGCAGGATCAAGTGCACAACACCAAAAACATCCCTTTGTTTAAATCTGTGAAAATGGTCAAAAACAAACAGCCGCTTTGGGACGTTCTGGCCTTTTTTCTGGAGATGTTCATGTAAATGTGTGCATGAATTATGAACGTGTGGGGGGGATTTACTTTGAAACTATTTTCAATTAGGAATTGCTAGTAAATTTCACAAATAATTGCTAAGTAATGGCAAATAGCACATTGAATTAAACATGAAATTTTAAAGCAGAAAGACTGAAATCGTTTTTTTGTTTTGTTTTTTTGTAAATTTACTTCAATAACATTTTACAGTCCTTTATCTTTTCAACTTCAAAAAATATTTTTTACAGTGTATTCTGAACTTAGTAGATGTGTGGATCTTTGACCTACTTTTATATTCATTATGTTTTACATTTATTTATATATTTTTTATTATATTTATTAAATATTGTTGCATGTACGCAGCATCTTTGTTTGGATCGTGATTAAAATGCAGTGGTTGCTTCTAATTTTAAATGGAAAGAGCACAGGCGAAGCCTTAGTTTCTTTATATGAAGAGATTTCTTTTATTTGTATTATTGATTTATTATTATTTGGGATTTGTTTTCAAATGTAAATGTAGTTTTGTTATTTGACATATTTCAATTTCACAAAGAAATGTGCAGCATTTTGTCTGAGAAATAATAAAAGGATGCCTTTTCATTTATAATTTGTCTAAAATCTCATTATTTTTAAAAATAAACTTTTTAATAACAAAAAAAATACATTTAATTCTTAAATATATAGTGTTAATAATAATTGTATAATATATAAAATAAATGCATTTTGTGGGTTTATGTATATTTTAAATATTTATTATTTATTTGACCTACTTTTATATTCATTATGTTTTACATTTATTTATATATTTTTTATTATATTTATTAAATATATATATAATATATAAATATGTTAAATATATAATAATAATATATAATAAAAAAAATATATATTTTAAATTTGTTTTGGAGTGTGTGTATATATATATATATATATATATGTATGTGGGTCAAAGACGAAAAAGGGTTTAAGCATAAAAACAATAAGTGTAATACTGCTTTAAATTGTTGTTTTTACCCAATTTATTAAAAAAAAAATTCTGTTTAATTTAATTGCAATTTTGTTTTTTGTTTTTCTGAGCAAAAAAATTAATATCATCAATTTCCCCTGATTTACAGGAGAGACCCACTAAAATGTCATTCAGTGTAACAATCTTGTCAGGCATATTTACAACAAAAATC